AAGTTATATGTGAATAACTTGAATATACTCGTTGTAAATGAGATAAATTCACTCTGCTTGATGACTATTTTCTTGTGTAGACAGTTATTAAGCGTGAAATTTAACACACTAAATGTATACGAATGCAAATTAGTGAATTTCACTTTGATTAAAATTCTGCATTGGTTATTATTATAGAACCTCTTTTTCATATAGACTGCAATAAAAAGTGCTGTCTTCTATTTACATATACATTGGTATTATATATTGGTATTATACATTGGTATTATATATATTATATATACATTGGTGTAAATATTTTTCTCATAGTTTTATGTATAGATAGGATTTCGTCTCAGATGTTTATCACATATTTCTTTCTTCATCTTATTTATCACTTATTAAGTAATATTTCGCATCGATATTTTTGAGAAGTATCCAACATGTGTTTGCATTTATTTCAACCAGGTAGTGAAATCTTCATAATTGCCTAAATTTGATCTAACTTCGCAATAAAAAGTTTCAGAAGCAATCGACGATCCTTTAATTATTTTTTACAGAAAATTGCGCGGCAGAATATTTTCAACCATCTTGCTTAAATCTCAGAGCACGCGAAATGTCATGTGTCATAACAGAAATATTACTGGATGCTTATTGGCCCATCCTAGAAGCCACTCCTTCGGTGGCTACACAGATGTGCACTTGTGAAATATGCTCCCCGTTGTGAACCCTAGGTTTAAGAGATCCCGTTTCACTGACACAGCGAGACTCAGATATTAAAAATAGAGAAAGTAAACTAATTTAAGCGCTTGTCTAGTTATTCGGAAACTCGGTCGTCGAAAATAGTTATCATGAATTAACTCGTGATTCATGGTTTTTGACAGACATTTTTTTTTATTTATATTGAAAAAACTCGCAATGTGTTTTGCGGCTACGCTGATGACCTTCACTGCATTTTGTTATAAGAATACGTGAGTTTGTGCCACGCCTTTTTCGACTCAGCATTAACTTTACAATTCAAATAATTATATACCATTTATTTTGTATCATAAAAATATTATAAAATACAACAATTTTGAAAAAATATTTGTAGTCGTTACTGTCTTGTTGCACTAATTAAAAGTATACAATAAAAAAATGCATAATTTTTGCACGGAAACTGAAAAATAAATGGTTAGTTAAGGGATTAAACATCTGTGTGCGCAATTCCCCTTCGAACAGCATGCATCTTAACTTCTCAACTCTATTTATATGCATATTTAAGAAAACTTGAAATTGTGTTATTATTCTCGCCTAGCGGTTCTGAATCGAGGCCAATAGAGATCAGGAAATGTTGTCGATCAACAAATCCTCAGATTATTCGTTTATCTTCCATATCATAAAAGGAAGTTGCTTTTCAGTGTTAAAAAGCGAATCATCTTGTCTTATTTCTTTTAGTCGACCGTAAGATTCTTGGTACTTTAATTCTTGGTACACCATCGTCCAAGTGGGAAATAAAATCGAATGGCAAATTTTCCTTCAGTAACCCTCTATCGAGTGCATAATCAATGCAAAAGAACAAAATAAAACTCTACAAAAGCCTGAAAACTTCAGATTACAGACTAACATTTTGAAAAAACTCCAAAAAATGTTTAAAGAATTTCACAATATAAGAATGGCAATGCTAATGAATAAATAGAAATTCTAATCGGACCTTGGTATCCAGATTTACTTAAGAGTTGAAACAGTTTTAAGCTCAGCAGCCTTACGACACGCTAGATAAGTTAAAAAATAATCTCCTGGAAATTAAATTATACATTCCGCAAGAAAGATTATAAAATATTATATTTAAAATGAAAAAATACTAAAATTGAGAATAAAAAATGGAACAGAGAGATATATAACACAGCTTTTTCATCAACTAACTCTGCATGCATCCTTTATTTTAAAATGAGAAGACTTAATTATTCAGTTGTGTATTTATATCATTGAATCGCTAGCGCATGAGGCTTGTAAGAAATATTTCCGTTAATACGAGGGCAATCTCAAAAAAAAAAAAAAAAAAAAAAAAAAAAAAGAAGGTCTCCTATTTTTTGGGGACGTAAAGAAAGTTTTAATACGGTTGTTGGCAACACTGTTGTGAGTGGTGCTTTCTCCACTACCACATAAACACGCAGGCGCTTCGCTTGGATGCTCAGTCTTGGCTTGGCAGCCATTTGAAATGGAGCTCCCGACAAACGTTACCGCCAAGTGCGAAGTGCGCGCAGTTATTCGATTTTTGAACGCAAAAGGCGTTAAACCGATTGAAATTCACCGTTTATTGACGGAAGTGTATGGACAGTCGTCAAAGACGTTCGCAAGTGGCGTAGAGAGTTTACAGCCGGTCGTACTGAAATTCATGACGAAGAAAGAAGCCGGAGGCCGTCAATTGCCGACGAGACAATCGCAAAAGTTGAGGAACTCATGAGTAAAATTCGGAGGATCATTCTGGATGCTCTCTGCATTTTGGTTCTTGAGGTTTCCAGAAGCACCATCCACAGGATTTTTAACGGAAAAGTTGCAATATCGGAAGGTGTGTGCAGGATGGGTGCCGCGTATGCTGACAGAGGACCACAAACGGCAACGGGCACCCAGCGATTTCCACCTGTTCCCTAAGTTGAAGGAACATTTTTCTGGACGACGGTCACCGATGATGAGGTGAAAGATGAGGTTCAACACTTCCTGAAGGGCATGGCGGCAAGCTGGTATGACATGGGCATTGTAAAACTGCCACAGCGTCTACAAAAATGCATCGACCGAAATGGCGACTATGTTGAAAAATAAAGCATTCTTCAATCTTAAAGTGATGTAGCAATTATAGAAAATAAACGGTTCTTTGTATATCTAAAAATATAGGAGACCTTTTTTTGGGGATTGCCCTCCTCAGAAACATAAACATAAATATACTGCGCTGATGCAATAGGTCGTCCTCTTTTTGGCGATAGAAGAAACTGTATTGCAAAATTGAAGTATTATCTATTTCACACGCGTACGTTTTGATGCTGTTGGTTCATATATGGATCACTTCTTTACCAAGAAACCTCGAGTTCAGGATTATGTATCTGCCGTAAGGATGACGAAAAGTCACCGAACAGAATGACACATATTAAATTGATTAGATGTAATTTCTAGTAAGTAAAATTTTCTATAATTTCTGTCAACAAATATGACGATGTTTTGCATTAACCTCAAATTTTTCGTTTCGACAAGATAGGAAATTCACAAACTGAAAATAATAAACACTTCGAAGAGGACCCCCTTCGAAGCGTTTAAAAAAATGGCAATAACGCACTTCATGCAGTGTCCTCAATAACTTAAACTTTAATCATCTTCCCAAGAAAAGAATTTTTGCCATACAGAAATACGTTATGCAAAATTTTTTTTTATGCGAATGACTATAATTCCTTTGTTTCCTTTTAGAAAAGTATAGATAAAGAAAATTAGATTTATAGAAAAGTATTTAGTTATGGAAACAATATTTGGATTTGAAGAAAATCAAAATTAATTAATTTCCTCGTTTTATTTAAACACAATTCAATCGTGAGCACAACATTTCCATTCCTTAATTTGCCAAAGACCGAGCGTTTTATATTTTATATTATATAAAATAATTTTCATTTTCTTTATAACTATACAATCTTTACACCAGTAAAAGGAAAATAGGGAAAGGGGAAAAAAAGTTACTTGCAGTTACAAAAAACTTGTAATTTGGCTATCTCTCCTATCCCCTCAAAAAATAAATAAACTGCTATTTTTTGGCAGTATTCGGATATTTGGAAATAACTCTATTGCACTATCATCCCAATGCCAGTTGCTAAATTTCATTTGATGCAGTGATTCGATTGAAGAAGCAAGACACTGAATCACATTATTAGGTCAAAAGGGCTACTAGTCTTGGAACACGTTTTGCCGTTGATTCAATTTAAATGTTGCCACTGTGGATGCTTCTTTCAATTTTCATTCGAGTCTGTTGCATTTCGGCAAAATGGAAGATAGTTAGCTTTCAAATTTCATCCGTCTTTTTATTAAAAAAGAGATCAAGATATTTAAAAAGAACACATGCAGGTCTTAAAAATGTTTTACTTTTACTCTATTTAATTTAAATAATAATGCATTTAATTCCTGATATATCTAATTAAAAATATTCATCACCCTTATAGATTGATGCTATATATTTTTTCACTTTTCAAATATGCTGAAGTTATATATAACGGTCCTGTGTTTCTAAATGTATATTCATTAAGTACCCTATAAAATATTTTGCTCTTCGACTTCAGACATCTCTGTAACTCCTGATAAATTATATTAAACTCTAAAAGAAGCCTTTGATACGACAGTTAAAATCTGAACGCTTTCAGAATTTTTATTTTTAATTATTTATTTTTATTATTGATGCTCTAATTGCTGCCTTAAATTCCTCACAAACATAAATATCGGTTGCAACGGAGCCAATCGACACATTTTAAATGGTCATAGGCAATAAATGGACATAATGAAAAACAAGCGAAATTGTCTACATTATGCTATTTATTACTCACAAAATTCTGAAAATTAAATCAGGCAGATAGGCTTCATTTACATCTTTGTATTCTTGCAAACGGGGAAGCTTTTTTACATGCGCCTTCGTACGTGTTCATTTATAAGCCCCGATTACTCTTTAGGTCCGTAATGTCCGGGAATAGTAAACCAAATAAAAGATGATTTTGCTTATAAGATATTTTGAGAAACTCAAGGGTTCTCCAATTCTTCTCTAATTTTTGTTTTTCCCTTGCGAAAAAAAAAGCTTGAAAAGCTCTTTGAAGATATCTACTATTAAGGCCCCAGACTTATTTAAAATTCCATGCAATGCGGCTGACTGATAAAAAAAAAATGACGCCCTTAATTTTCTTATTCCCAAATGCGACAAGCTAAAACGCTCGCTAAAGAAATATTCTAACATGAAACATTTCAGTCGGTTCCGTACCAGATTGAGTAAGGAAATTTACTATTATACAATATCTTACCTGTGAAACCTTCCCGGCAAATACAAGTATAACCGCCTTCTTTTCGAATGCATGTCCCATTCGCTCCACATGGGCTGGAATAACACAGGTTCACCTCGGTGTCGCACTCGTACTTATGCTTCATGCCTGCAAAAGAAGAAAAAGAATTGCCCTATAAACATCATCGACGACAACCAAACAGAAAATCATTATTACATTTCGTTCATTCCTAATACGCTTTTGTTTTTTCCTCAATCTAATGGTGTGGAGGGACACTTGCCTATTCAGCATCGGCCCGCTCCTAAGACCATGAGGCCCACCAGCGGCCGAGCGGTAAAGTCGCTGAACACTGGTAGTTTGGTCCGAGGTTCGAATCCCGCGAACGGGCTGGCTGCATGGGCGTTTTCGTGGTTTTCCCCATGTGTAACGTATATACGAGCCAGTTCCCTTAGAAAGTCCTCCACGAAGGCACCTCTCCCCTTAGGCAGATAACCCTCGAGGCTTTGCCGTAATTAAATAACCTAACCTAAGACCATGAAGTTGGTCGCCATTTTATTGTGAAGGCATCTAATAGGTGGCCACCGCTGCCTCGCATGAAGCGACAAACAGTTACAAACACACCTTCTCCACACAGCAGGCTCCCCTAACCAGCATACCGTTTGGGCGGCTCATTCATAATATTCCTTCGTTCATTCACAATGAAAGAGTTTATCGTGTCTCTGTGTCTAGTATTAATGCCGTGCTTATTATGCACAACGCAGAGACTGAAAAAGCACGGCCACAAAATTTCTTCAGTGATACCCGAACGCAAATCAAAACGAATTTTTTCAAATTCGAATTAAATTTTGGCGTTTGAAACGTCCTTAGAGCTGCTTTCCCAAATTTGGAACCGTTATATTGCGATACCATCCCGTTTTCAAAGTGATTAAATTTTAACTTCAATTCCAAAGAAATGGAATGATGCTTGAAACACAAGTATGGCTATTCGTCTCCTTATTCTACGACAAAAGAATGGGTAAAACAATTTCGCCCGGGCCGCGAATCCGTAGATGTTGATCTACGTGAACGTCCACGAGAGGCATTGACATCAGAAAATATTGCTCGTGTCCATAAGTAAATATTGAGTGATAGATAGCTGAAATACTGGATAGATGTACTGTTTTGTGCATTCCACATGAAAATCATCTAATGCGGAAAACACATGAACTTCAGCCAGTTCAAGCTTTAAGTAAACAATCACTTCCGGTTGATCGTCTGTAAATAAAATATAATTTGTTTAAAAATTTTATGGCTCAATTTTAAATGTAAATACTATTCATTTTTTTATTATTATATTCTCCCATATAATGGACAATGATAATTATACCTGCTCCTATACACATCTTTCTCAAGCTTTGATTTCGAAATATCGCATCGATCGTAGTATATTATCTGGTCATTTAGTGTTTCGGATTAACAAATCAATGACTTAACAACCTCAATTCTTTTTAAAAGCAGCACATTTTTAGAAATCTCAGTAGAATGTTAAGTTTTGCCATGCAATGCTTTTTCAGTCTTTTCTCAGTTTATGACATCAGCATTCAGTTTTCTTCATTACATGATCCTTTTCTTTGATCTTCATTAGGGCTTTTTTCTTTTTCTTTTTTAGTCCAAAGAGGTTTTGTTCCTGAAGGACTATTCTTTTCGTTTTGCGATTTTACGTTGAATCACTATAAAAGTCCGTTTCACTTTGCAAACTGTTGCCACCAAATGTTAGAATCCTGCATTATATTTGAGAAATTAAATAATGAAAAATCTGCATAAATGTATGTATATTTCTCGCATTGTGATAAAACAACGGTACATAGAACCATCGAATTTTGAATGACGTAATCCTCCTACGAATATGGGCATGTGGAAGACCAAATTTGAAATTTGGAATTCGTTTTATGATCGATTTTATATTTTGTAAACCTTTAACGAATTTTTGATTAATAAACTCAAGAATTTCAAAACAAGCAATGGCAACACTCTCCGGGGGGGGGGAGAACCTTTTTATCTCCAGCGCGCGGAATCGTGTATCGAAAATTCTAAAGATAGGCTCATTTTAAATTTATTTTGCGACATTGCTATTGAACTGAATTTTATGGTTTAAGTGCAAAGAACATGATATTTAATAAATAAAGGAAACACACAAAACGTTTAAAAAACGCCCCTTTAGACGTAGTTTAAAATTTGAAACCTTTCAGTGTTTTTTTTTTTTTTTTTTTTTTTTTTTTTTTTAAGTAACTTTGACGCTGCGTATTAGTTTCTTCGCACTTACGCCATATAAAGTTCAACAACAAAATGACAAAATCTTAAAAGATCAGCATACTTTAGAATTCCCAACAGAACGTTAATTGCTACCATATGTATTTTTTAATTCGCAATATTATTTATATTTTATATTTATTTCTTTAATAGATAGCGTTAATACTATTTGGCAGCTGCATCCTTTTAATTGAAAAATAATTCGACACAAAAGTGAAACGGACACAAAATTGAGGATTGAGGTTAATACATTTTATTGCTTCATTACGAGAGCTCGACCTCATAATGAGTTTGAGTTTATTTTCGTTGCATTTGGCATAATAATAATATATTTAATGCCTATAAATGTAATGTGTTGTTCTCAATCACATACCTATTTTAAATATCAAATTTCAGAAGGGTTGGACTAGCTCATAATATAGTTGGGGGGGGTAAGATTAATTTAACAAAATCTAATTCTTTATTAGCATAAAAGCGGACAATTTTCACGTCGCGCCACCCCGACATTTCATGATGATGCGGACATCTTTATGTAAATCAGCGACTATTCGCTTAGATCTTCACGTGATCGTTTCGACACCGGGATGAACAAGGCGTTCTTTCATAGCATAAATTAAGCTAAGGTGCCGGAACGCGTCGGTGAACAAAGATCTATTTGCAAAAGTTACTGGTACGTTTATTTAAGTCGGCAAGTATGATTTCGTTAGATCTTCATATGGACCAGAGCTTAAATTGCGCCGGAGCCCGGCTCCGGTACTTCTTAGTTTTGGAGATAAATCATAATTCTAGTCGAAGCGCACCGGAACCCTAAATAAGAAAGCTCCGGCACGTCTTTTAGGTAATTGAACAACAATTTTAGTAGAAATTTGATCCGGAAAATTTTATTTTTTGCAATAAAATTATATTAAAAATTGATTATTAAACTTCACTTTATCTTTTTACATTTCATTTAATTTTAATTATTTAATTACTTTAAAATCTTTAATTATTCCAATAATAATAATGAGATATAAGTATTGATGAATAATAACTGAAATATGAATTATTAATTAAATATTAATTAATTAATTTGATAATGATAAACTGTTTAATTTTTAATGATTTCAATAGTCGTTTTATTTATTTAATTACTTCTGTTCCTCTTTTGCTGACGGTCTTCCATAGGGCTCCGGCACTTCTAATTTTAGAAATTAAGCCCTGACATGGACGCTTCATTACTTTTATGAATGTTGCGTTCTTCACTGTAAAAGATGCGCCCATAAAGTAACCAGACAAATTCGAAGATTTATTTAATTTAACTAACAGTTGATTTTTAGTTTAAAGTACTTTCATTTCAGTCTCGTTTTCACGCACGCTTTCTTGCCAGAATGTTTATAAGCCAGCGGATATCTATTCAAATGAGCTAGAAAGAAGTAACTCGAATTACTAGCGATTAGATTTCAGTGGCGTCAAGCGCTTCTAGCCTTGTTTATGCCGCCTTCTACGAGTCGGAGCCTCCCTGACCGTTAAGTTGTGTAGTGGGCCCACCAGCGGCCGAGCGGTAAAGTCGCTGAACACTGGTAGTTCGGTCCGAGGTTCAAATCCCGCGAACGGGCTGGCTGCATGGGCGTTTTCGTGGTTTTCCCCATGTGTAACGTGTATACGAGCCAGTTTCCCTTAAAAAGTCCTCCACGAAGGCATCTCTCTTCTTAGGCAGATAGCCCTAGTGTGCTTTGCCATAATTAAATACACTACCACACCCTTAGGCAAAACTTACTACATTTTAGTTTAAGTTCATTGTTATCTGTTTTTAGTTAAACAGAAGTGTTGGCTTTCTGTACGCGCAAGTGGGAACATCTGCGAAATTGAATGAAGGAAGGATTCTTTACCCATTTTTCTGCCTTCTTGTTGTCAATTCCTCATGCAGTCTTCTAGAGCTCGATAGTTTATGTTACCTTAGAATGGGAGACTCTTTAAAATTAAAAAAAAAAAAAAAAAAAAAAAAAAAAAAAAATGAAAGAATAAATGCATGTTTAGAAAGAATGACATCTCAACTTTTGTTAAAGCCAGTTTAAACTAGTTATCTTGCCCTTTGAATTTCAAAACGTTGAAGTCATTTCCACTCAGTCGGAAAATAATGCAAAACCCCCCCCCCCAAAAAAAAAAGAATATGAATAATCAAAGACTAATTTTGTGTTGCTTGCATTCTTTTACTATAAAGAACTTTTTCACTATGAACTTTTCCCTGAAAACAAAACAATTAATCAGTAGTTTTACAAGGAGCTGCTTTTTTGATTAAGAGATATGACAAGGAGAGTTTGGAAGGGATTTTTGGGCTCTGGGCAATGGTTTCTTTTACGCGATAATGCTAGCCCACATACAGAATTGTCTGTACAAACAATATTTTGCTAAGCATTCAATTACAGCGCTAAATCATCCACCATATCCTCCCGACTTATCACCAGCTGATTTTTTTTTATTTCTCCAAAGCTTAAGATAGCCATGAAAGGACAGAGATTTTAAAAAAGCTCGTGAAATCAGATGTCAGACGTATTTTGCAAACGGTTAGTTCAAATGCCTATAAACAGTGTATCGAGAACCTAAAGAAACGTTCAAAAAATTTTTCGGAAAACTCGGGCGATTTGAAAAAGATAAATGTATTTCAAGATTAGTCGAACAAGGCCAACTTGCAAAAACATTTCTGTATATATAAGTCGGCAAGTATTATTCATGCAGATTTTTATATGGACGTCTCATCATTGTGATGAATGTTTCATTCTGCATGGTATAAAGTGAACTTGTCAAGGATGCCAGGCACCTCCTGTGTCTTCGCGAACAACGGCCAACTTGCAAAAAGGAGCCCGTATATTTATTTAAGT